GTTATCTAGATGATTTTAAAGTGAAAGTAATAAAAAAGTCTACTTTTAACAAAAAAAATGCACAACCACTAATCACTTGAACTGGAAACGTATCTCACGTAGGGTTACAGTTTGCCCTCACCATTCGTCTGGTTGCGTTGTGGAGGCATGGTGAGGGAGGATCAGAGAAAAACTCGGTAGCTGGGACCTGTGAATGGTCGCCATAAGTTCAGTTCAATTCATCTACCAAACAAAATTGTTGGATCGAGACCTGTCCATCAAACACACAATAATGCTCATGTGGACTAGGTACAGCAGGCCTCGCCCGTCTCGTAGCGAGGCAATGATGCCGCGATGGCGAATTGACGATGGCGTCCAGTTGGTAGCCGGTAGGGCGGCCAGCCCGTTCAGACGAGACGGCCTTTGGAGTCAAGTCGCGAGTGCCGACAGGTGGTCTCGCTCTCGCGCCGAACCCAGCCCCTATCACCTCACATGTCCTCTGCCCCAATAATCCCGCGCCGTGTCCACTGTGCAGCGCGTGCTGCATTCATCCCTGCAAGACTAGGTTTTATTTCTTCTTCAGATGATTCCAGCAGTGTACCTGTGTATATGTACTAACATTCCATCGTCTCGATGAAATTGAGGTTTGCCTCCAAACAGTTCGGTGGCAGCTGTATCAGAACCAAAATACTATATATTAGCTAGTAAAACCTTAAATTTTGCTGCGCTTTGCTGAGCAATATTTTTTATTTAGGATGAATAATTGACAGTTTCAATCTAGAGTACCCTAACGAGCCTCTTACGGTCTTACCCGACGCGCGTGCGCCGCTATAGTTATATAGGCGCACAGTCTTCTTCTCCCTCACCAGCCGCAGCCACGCCCCCGCTTGCCCCGCCCGTTCGGCTTTCTCTCCGACTGCCTCGTCGCCTCGAACACTGCTCTGGCAGCCGGCGACCTCCTACCGATACCGGAGCAGTGGAGCTCCCCTGGAATCCGTATGAATTTTTAGGCAAAGTTCTATGTGTAAGTGGGGCTGAGAGTTAAAATCGAGCAGCAGTCGGAGGTATGTTGCTGTCGCACTTTACGAAATCCTCGAGCGAGCAGATCATTGACGTGCAAGAAGGCACTTGTTGGGTGGAGTGGAAGCTAGCTGCAGCCGCACCTGCCTTCTTTCAAAACACACACACACAGGTGCAGCTGTCATTTGTTTTGTTTTGTCTGGGGTCTGATCCAGCCACTTTCATGAAAAATTGTTATACTAATTCTGGACTGGAAAATGGGAGCCACAAAACTACAATTTCCAAAAGTTTTTGCTTGTGTAACTATTTGTGTATTTATCTTGTCTTGGATCTTCCTTTGCCGATCATGGATGAATTGGAATATGGCCTCTGGCCTGTGTTTTCCTATCATGATCGATCATGTATCCATCCGCTTCATCTGCATGTTCTGCTCCATCTACCAACGTGGCTGGTGATTAATTCCTCACCAACGAACTGAATGGCAGGTGGAGCATGGCCAATCGGTCGCTTGCTTGATCTCATGCAGCATGTGGATGCTGCTCACTGAAAGGAATTCACATGGTTTAATGCAGCATTTTCTTTTGTTTCACAACAATGGCAATCACGCCTTTCGCTAGATTATGCTGCAAATATAATGTAATGTAGCCCTGGTTATGCTGATTTGTTGCGAGAGGAAAACACTGTTCGTTCGCTGAAAAATACTACTGAAGTAGTTCAAGCGAACAGGGGCTTAACTCAGATGCTGATGCATATGACTTCGAGGCATTATGAAAATTGCTGGATTTGGGCGATGATTGTTCACACAAGCTGACCATAGGAGATTCAGGCCTGGAGGGGATAGGGTGGTGGTGTTCATCTGCTGAATTTTCTTCAACCACGGCCAACACATTTTCGCCAACATGTTTTCATCATAGAAGAGGACATGGTGATGTTGTTCATACGTCTTCTATTGTTAGCAAATAATGGAAACAAAGATTGAATACGAGACGTAATTTTTTACGTGGAAAACCCTTGCGGGAAAAACCACGGGCGCCAACCGGCGATCTTCACTATATGATGAGAGTTTACAAAATGCATGTAATATAATGAGTCATTTGCTCTTCCTGTGTGGCTTACAAGATGTGTATATAGAACGGACGAACGACAGTCCAACACCGAAACAAATCCGCTAAACACATAACCCAAACCGCGAGGCCTTCAGCCATCCCCGCAAGACTCGCGTTAGAATTCGGATCATATTCCAACATCTATGCCCTCATCATCCAATAAGCATCATCCTAGGTGGCGAATTGATGACAATCTAATGTCTCACGTAGGAAGCGGTTTTCACAGGCATATGTGCCAGGATTGATTTGTAGCCCAGCAATGTCTCCGGTTGCATGCAAATCTGTTTCAGCAATGGGTTGTTCAGAAAGACTAGTTCATTATAACATGGAGAAAATAAGTTATATTAATCGGTTCACAAGAAGAACACCATGTACTATATACCATAGTTCAATGGATGCAGTGATACTCTTTAGATGTTGTTAAGAACAAGCTGGCATAGTTTATAGCTAATTTGAAATGAGATACTGGACTCAAATTTCTCATCCCCATATAATATAGTTTCATATGAATCTAATTTTATGTAATGCTCAACTTTCAAAAAAAAAAGCAGAGTACTGAAAATTCAATCCTTATGCAAGTGTTCAGAAATGATGAGCACTAATAGCTACATATACAATTCATTTAATTTCAAGATTCAGATGTAGTAAACTAGTAATATCCATTTATCAGTTTGGTGACGAAGTATCACTTATTGAATGTTCTTGATGAATTGAAAATGAAGGTGTATGTAATTCACAAAAAGATATTAAACAAGATAACAAACAAGTTTGATCAGAAAAAAGAGTACCAAGTCATCATCTTCTTCAGTTTTGTCGCCTTTCTGCTTTTTTTTCTAGCAAGAGCTTGTTTTATACTTCTAGCTGAGCACATCTCTGCTTCACAAAATCTGGATTGATTCAACATAATCTTTTTTCATGGAGTAGGAGTTTTGCTTTAGCGGCCATTGCATTACCAACCTGAAAGGATTTATAGGGGAAAAGAGAAAGGGATCATTGCTGGTAGATACTACAAAAGAATAACTTACCTGAAGCGTTCATCTAACGTCACTGAAAAGACAAAATTTATGTTTTAAGGAAAAACAGTTCTGCTAAGTCATTGAAGCAGAGAAAAGAGCTTACTCCGCTAATCAGATGGTCATAAAGCTTATGTTTTGATAATGCTACAAATCATAAGGAAGCATTAGGCAACTTCAGAAGGTACCCTGTCAATTCTCGAGTCTCGACTACACTACAACTCCGTAGATGGGTAAAGGAACTAGAAATAAATAGATTGGCAAAATAAAAGAACTAGAAATAAGTAGATCAACAAAGGAACTAGAAAACTTTCTTACTGAAAACTAATGCTGTACCCCCCCTTTCATAAGACTAGAAAACATAAAATTTAATGTTGATCTGACAACAATGACCACTAAATGTTTGTCTACATAGAGGATGTATAATATCTTATTTATATTCAAGATATAAGCATGTGGCACCTGACGTCGCGAGAAGCGTACAGTTCAGTTTCCTGGGCTGCAGATTCAGGTTAGTGGTGAGAGATCAGGAGCGCTGGGTTTATGTGTGTCTACTTCTGAATTCGGCATATGAGAACTCGAACTGGCAGGTTTCCTTCTAATTTGAATTTTCTTTGTTTCCTCTACTCAATGATACTGGATGTCTTATTATCCACAATTGTGAGCCCTTCCTGTTAAACAAAGGAAGCAACGGATCCTCAATTTACAATACATCTCAGGGTTATGCCACTTATATAGAAATAAAGAAACAAAAATAGATGTACAGAGTTAAGTAAAACACATTACTTCCAAAGCATTTTTTATTCTTCCATACACCAAGCTGGTTGACAGAAGCAGAAAGAGCCTCAGTGGTTTTCAAATGATCAAAGGTCTGACTCGTGATGCCACGTCTCCTGTCTTCAGATACGGGCCTGAAATTACAAGAAAAGAAAGCCTGGAATAATATTAATGAAGAAAGAGACAATGCCAAACACAAAAAGTTCATTTGTGACTGTCAATATCTTCAGATACACTTGCTGCCTCACCTGATATTTTCTGGATGCACCGGTGTTGCTACATGGTTGTTCTTTCCTTCTGCCTAAAACATAGGCGCCAAGCCATCCTCATAAAGAATTCCCTAGGCTTTACTTAACCCAAGCTTGGGCTCATTTATGGTTTTGAATGATGTGTAACATTATGATGAAGCAAAGTCCTGCAAAGGAAAACCAGCATATCATCTCATTGTGCTGTGGGGCAACCACTAGTGCTGTGACAGAAACAAGGCGATTGGGCATATTAGATCAGCAAATGAGCATATGTGTCATGATTAAGGATATCTAACATAATAAGGTCGATCGGAACCAAACAATCAGCAGCCATTCATGACATGTAACAACAAGAATGAACTAAGTAATATAAGGACATGGTATTTGTTGGGCAATTTTCTGTCCTTCCTAAAAGTACCAATTAAAAGCATGAGATTGATATAAAATTAAAGAATGGTGCAATAATACAATATTCCTCAAGAGGAAAAATGCTAGAAAGTAATATGATCCAAAAGTTGAAACTGTAGGAGAAATGAAATTTGTTGATTAAAAAATGAAGGGCTGGACAAGAATTGTGATTGGTGGCTCCACTTGTAACACAGACACAGTAGCATATGAGAATGGAACATATCTATATGAGAAAAAGCAATTCGGTTTGCACAGTCAACGAAATCATAAATCGAGGAACATAATAAGCTGTTTTTTTATATATATTTCGAACTAACCTGCAGATTGAAAGGCATGCTGAAGCAGAGTTGAAGCAGAGTGTGTGAAAGGCACGCAGAAGCAGAGACTCAGCTTTGCACTCGAGGAATGGAGGCACGGACATCTATATCTGGCCTCGTTACCCTTAATTTCTAGCATTCCTCATAAATCTCGGGACTGCAATGAACTATGTCTAGCAGTCGCAGTGAATCGGGGAGGCCCTCCATGGGCAGCGATCTGATTTTTTGAGTCCCCCAGATACGTAATTCCCGGAGAGAAGGAAGGCGATGCAACCCTTGGGGGAGGGACCGCAGAGCCCTGCAGCCATGGAACAACAGGGTTTGAAGAGATGTGAGGAGCTGAAGCGCCTCGTCCTGCTCTTCCGTGAAGTTCTCTGTCCGCCAATCAGCACTGAAGAATAACCTCTGGAGGGTAGCGGAGAGGCGGCTGCAGATGGGAGCAACAAGCACTGCGGAGATGCTGTCCACAAAAAGGCTCACCAATTGGAAGGAACCGGCGGGCATTGTTTTGGTCGTTCTTCCCACCGCTCCAAGTACATCTGCTGCTACAGAGTATGGCTCAGTCCCATCATCTCTCCAATTGTACACATACAAATGCTCGAGGTTGGATGTGATGCGAGGATCGAACCCATCGGCTGTGATATCCATGCAATTAACTAGTTGTAGACAGGTAAGAGATGTGAGATTCGCGAGCAGAGCCATCGGCAGCGTGCTTTGCTCACCGAAAAGACAGAGTTCCTTGAGGGAAGGGGGGAGAGGGTAGATGATGCTCCGAGTCTGAGCTCCTCCTCCTCCCATGGACCACCGAGAGAATAGCTTGTTACAATGTATTATGGGCTTATGGCCACGGAGTCGAGCGACGAGATGCCACAGAACCCAACTCCTCCCTCTTCCTCCACAGGCAGGATCAGATTCTTACACCCACGGAAGCGGACATTTCTCAGCGAGCTGGAGGGTGGAAACTGCAGTACCACCTCCTCATGATCCTCATCTGATGATGCGCTGACATCCAAACTAGAAAGAGCTGGGAAACATTCGAACAAATTTGACAAGGATTTTCTGGTAAGTGAAAAGTGTTGGAGTTCGAGAGATTGGACTGTGTGGAGCACAACACCATCATCCAGTCCTCTCAAAAAGGTTTCCTCACATCTACCGACCTCTATATGTCTTAGGGAATGTAGCTTTTGAAGATCCATAAATGAGAAGCATGATGCATCCTGAATTGTCAACCTTTCTACATCACCAAGATTGTGGAAAACCAATTCAGAGGACTTCCTAATGTGCAACTTAGTACGATAATAAGACAAGCAGTCTGTATCAATACGGGATATCATCGAAGTGTGAGGCATGGGAGGAAGGCACAACTTCGGGCATCTAAGAATGTGAAGATCACGAAGGCTAGGGAACCATTTAGTGTTGCCTTCTGTAGAAGAAATAGGCCAACCTGAGATCAGCAGCGTTGTGAGCATGGGACAATCAGTGCACCTGATTATTTCAAGCCTTGAGAACAGATGACAGTTAGCTCCCCCAACCCACTCTACAAGGTCTGGCATATCATAAAACTGAACTTCCATCAAGTGCGTGAAACTTTTTTCTGTAGTACCACCAAAGAAATCAGGTCCAATCTGAGATATCCCGAGAATGTTTTTCAGCTTCAGCTTTCTTAAGTGATACATCTGCCCAATAGGTGGAAGGTTGGCCCATGATACGCTCTCTAGATGTAGGGTCTCCAAGTTTCTCATGTATATGATGTTGCTGCACAACCAACTAGGACCAACAGAGCCACCATGATTTACAATGCAAAGTCTTCTAATATTAGAGTGTGGCTTGAGACTATCTAGGATATCATCTCCAGCATTTTCTAAAAAAAGGATATCATCTCCAGTGGACTCTTGGTTCCTATTCCAAACTAATCCCAACTCTACTAAATTTCTCTTTGCCATTAGTTTGGCATCTTCAGCTTCTTGGCTGGTTCTCACATTTTCAAGCCCATGTATATTGAGCTCTCCTCCAAGGTCTTCTAGTTTCCCCAACTCTCCTAGCTCAAAGCCAATGCTCTCTTTCTTAACATGGAATTCTTTCATTTCTTGTAAAAAATTCATTTTCCCCACCTCAGGAACATTGGAATGAAATTGTTTCGTAGCAACAAAATGGCGTAGATTTTCAAGGCGGCTAATGTCTTTAGGCAAAGAATAACTACTTTTCCATTGGTTAAGATCTAGGAATTTCAAGTGATTAAACCTAGACACTGTGCCAGGCATGCACACTTCTGCGTAAAAAGGCGACATAAGTTTTAAGTATCGAAGATGGATAAGCTTTGAAAAGTTGTTTGGCAAGGAACTATGGGAGTTCGCGAATATAGATAAAACACGGAGACCTTTTATTTCCATAAATGTGTCTCTTAAAACATTGACCAGGTGTAACCTACTGTATTCTCCAAAAATCATCAAACTTTGCAAATTTTTAATGTCTATCCTTTCCTTCAATTTACCCATCTCTTCCTCGAAACTTTTAACATGAATATCATCATGCATGAAAATGGATAGGTAACGAATAGATTGTGGGATTTCATTTGCCTCAAAAGTAGAACAACTGATATAGGCACATTCTTCTAATGAAACTTTACGTGAAAGATCATGGAGTAAATCATGCATTACATAATTATTATCATCTCCTTTTATAAGAAAACCATTATCTAATAGTTCATCCAGATAATCTGATCCTATGTCCTCAAATTTTTTATTCTGCTTAGGGTAATCTATGATGCCTATAGAATCCCAAAAACGAATAATCTCAAGCTTTCCAAATTTATAATCGTCAGGGAAAAGGGAAAAAAACGAAAAACATTTTTTCAGATGGAAGGGAAGGTAGTCATAGCTAATTTTCAAGGCTGGGATAATATCATTGTCATGGTTTTCTTGTAGCCACTCTTTGTTGTCAAGAATTTTCATCCAATGTTCCTGAAAGGGTTTCTTAATCAATAACCGACCAACTGTTTTGGCTGCAAGTGGGGAGCATTTCAGCTTATCTGCTATTTGTTTTGCAATATCAATTAACTCTTGATCACCATGCTCATCTTGAATTCTACCAAATGCACATATTTGGAAGAATTTACAAAACTCATCAGGATCCAAACCACGGAGGTCAATTGGATTAGATTCTTTTGTCACCATTTCTACAATTTTTGGGAACCGAGTTGTGACAAGAATCATGCTGCCACTGGTCTCGTCCTTTTTGAATGGAGCTAACAGTTTTGCCCAATCATCACTACTGCTGCATTCCCATATGTCATCCAAGACAAGTAGAAACCTTTTGGATTTCAGCCTCTCTGTGATGGATTTCTGAAGCTGGTCTAAGTTGGTAGTTTCATTTGGTGTTCTATTTCCTGCATTTTCTGTTGAAGGTAGGCAGCTCAGGATCTCTTTGGTGAGCTTGAGCACATCAAAATTAGTCGATACACATATCCAGATATTAATATCAGGACAACATTTTTTAATCCTTGTGTCATTGACGATGTGCTGGGTGAAGGTAGTCTTTCCAATACCCCCTGGGCCAACTATTGGAAGAACAGACAAGGTTTTACCACTCTGTGTCACACTGATAATCTCCTCTATAGTTTTCTCAAAGATGGCATCCCTCCCAAACAACTTCTCCTGTGTGATTTCAGAGCTTGTGTCAGGCCTTTTAGCGAAGGCAGGCATGTGTTGCTGAGGGTTAGTGCCTGACACTATCTTGAGCAAGTCAGAGACAGGAGTACAGTTAGAGTGCAGCTCCTCTATGAGCTGCTTGATTTTGTTGGACATTGCCACCCTGTCAAATGGCAACTTTCCATCATGGCCACTGTGGTCAACAGACATGGCAATGGCATTGCTTGTGCTATGGGTGTTATGGACATCGTCGGCAGCAGCAACATCCTCATCTTGCGAACGGCAACAAGAGAAGCATGAGAGCCAGTTACCAGAAGTGTGGCGAGCAGCATGGCAGGCATGCTGAGCTTTGCCGCTGAGGCCATCTCCCAACTCTGGAGTGGCCTCTCGAGTCCCATCGAGCTTGTCCTGGATCATGAAGTAGTGGAGCTCGCCCAGAGCGTCCTCGGCCTCGTCGGCCTTGTTGCTCAGGTCCTCGAGCAGACCCTTCAGGCCAGAGTTCCCAGCAAAGTCCCTCCCCTGGGCCTCCTCCAGCAGCCCTTTAGTGTACAGCATCTCCTTTCTGATCTTCACAAGGTTGAGGCCGAGCTCGGTGCTGAACACGTACACTTTGAGCAAGTCATCGGACAGCTTGAGCTTGTTGAGGACTTGGCCGAGGAGCCAATTCGCCGCTCCGAGAGCCACCTCCATCTTCTCCTCCGGCTGCAGGGGTCATTGGTTTGAGTGGTGAGCACCAGTAAGAACAGTGTGCTTGAAAGGCTACATGGATTTTGTCCAAAAAAGAAGAAGAAGAAGGTGCGAGTGAAACGTTTGGTACCACTTCTCCTCGCTCCTGCTCGACGGCGCGCACGTCCTCCAGGCGACGCGAAGGCGGCCCTCGCCACCGTGGGTCTACCCTCCCTCGCTCCGCCTTCCTTCCTTCGTCGTAGCCGCTGATCTGCCCGACGCGCCCCGAGCTGACCAAATATTCGGCCTGATCTGCCCCTCCCTCCTGCCGCTGAGTCAAGGGATGGTCCTCGTGCGCCCCTCGTCGACGAGCCGCTGCTCTCCCAGCCGCGGAGGCTCCGGCGAGCAGGCCCAAGCGCCCCGCGCTGTGGAGCAGCAAGACGGGCGGCGTAGAAGAGCTCTGATGACATGGGGCACAAAAGAAAGGAAGGAGAAGAAAATATCCAACCGTGGAACCAAATTAATGAACACTATTAACAAAGCCACAACGATATCTCTCAGACGTGCCAATGCCAATTCTAAACACGTGTGGAACTCTGGATTCAAATAAAAGTTAATTGAATGTAATAATTTTTACTTTAACATATATTAAACATAGTTTTCTATTGCTAAAGTATCTCAATGTTTGCTCTTACCGAGGAATTCAACCCGTGCGGCAGCACAGGTTGATGGACTAGTGTATTAATAGTTAAGATATCTAGCTCCTATATGGGTAGACTGAGACATAGGCTCTAAAGATCTTAACAGCTTGCGGCTAAGTATATTATTAATCTTACTCTTCGTGGGCTAATTGTTATATGATAGGTAGACTAATAGATTTGGCTATAAGTTTATGGCAAGCAGCAAACTGTATTATGGACCAGTACTGGTACACGCCTCGTCTCGTAGCGATGGGCATCCACCTCGAGTGTAGGTCCGTTCAGACGGAGACCTCGCGGTGGAGTGTGGAGTCAGGGGATGTCGGTCTCGCGGAGCATGTGGCTACAACGAGTCCTACTCATCATTCACATGGCTCCGCGGTTGGTGGCCCCGGCGCTAGATAGCTACCTGTGAGGGATGGTGACCAATAATGCTCTGTGTAGAGTACGTACCATCGATCTTTGCACCAATAATGCTCGTAAGATTAAAAAAAAAGGCTCGTACGTCATGTTGGCGCTGCTGATTCACACTTCATTTCATCTTGGGATTCAGCACTGTGTAATGGGGATCCTTTGACCGTTTGAATTCCGTTCATAGACCAGTGGTTATATCCACGGAAAGACTGCCTGCTAAAAGAATGATTTAGAGCCCAAGTGCTTTCAAATTCGAGGCCAATTGGCTGAAGGAAGATGATTGCAGACGAGTGGTAGAGGAAGCCTGGGGGCAATGTCTCTTTTCCAATGTAACTAAATTGACTACACTAAACAACCGACGAAACAATCATTTCTATGTAGAATGAGCAAATTGCAAAGTACTCCCTCCGGTTCTATAAAACAAGTCGTTTTGGACATCGACACGGTCTTTAAGAAACGACTTTGACCGCTACTTTTTGCTATAAAATATTTATAAAATATAGTCAATATATACTTTTATGAAACTACATTTCGAGATGAATCTACTTACATCACTTTCATATTTTCAAACTCAACCCAAAAGAAGTTATTTGTAGTCAAAGTTTAAAATATTTGACTTAAGACAACCTCAAAACGACTTGCTTTAGAGAACCGGAGGGAGTATATGTCTTCCAACATTTGATCTTGTTGATTCTTTTTTTTTTTTCGAGACCGTGCCTGGGCACATATTTCATTAAGAAGAAGTAAAGAAACATTACAATCTACCCCATCAATGGGAAGCGCCGAAAATGCCAAAGAGGAGGAGGACCAAGAACACAAAAAATAAAAAAAAGTACCCAAAAAAGCTGAGGATTACAATGGAAAAAAATGCAACCACAACTGCTGGAAACCTGCCGATGCCCAGTCAAAGGCCAGCTAGGCTACAACCTCCCTAGCCACCCGACGTCTCACTCGGCGGCTCGGCCAGAAGCGTGTCAACCTCCGGGACAAAGTATTCGCGTTGTCAGGGAACAGAACCTTGAACGCCTCATGCTTGGACTCTGAAAGCAGTTCAGCAAAGATGAACACAAACTTCTATAGAGCTGTAGAGTCGATGGGCCGTGCTGGAACTACGAGCCCCAACTTGGCAATAAGAACCTATTGTGCGCCTGTGCCTAAAGAGTTGAGTTGGCTGCCCGAGGTTTAGCAGCGAAGCGCGTACTCCTCCTAGGTGCACTGACGCTGGGTCAGGCCCGAGGCACCCTGAGGGTGGGTCTTCCCCGAAGCACAGGAGTTTGGAGAGGCAGGCAGGCTCCCTCACGGATCAAGCGTGGAATGTCAGCGAGAGAATGCTACTGAACATCTAGGACTCCTTGCCCAGAGGCAACAGGCGCCTGAGGGGGGCAGGCATCTGCCGTGAGGTCAACCGGACCGAAGCCTGGCGGGTAGCCCTCTTCGTCCTCCGTGGATGCATCAATGCCTGAGGGGGCGTTTTGCACCAACCGCGATGGCCTGACCTTCGTCTGCCCATGCTGAGGTGACACCGGGGGGAGTTTGCTGCCCACAGAGTGGTGTGCAAAGGTGGAGTCCGCAACTCCGAGTCGGCATGCTAGGACGGCATCTGCCGCCCACAGGTGAACACATAGGTTGGCCGCCGGAGATGAAGCCAGGCGGTCAAGTGGAGGGCGCGTGATGATCTGGCTGACGGCGATCGAGGCTGCGAACTCCTCGAGCATTGGGTTGTCCATGCGTCGTGACCAGAGAGCTCGTCGTGAGGCCACGCAGTCAGCGTCAACGGGTCATAGCCAGGAACGCACGTCCCGCTGGCCGGCACGTCGCGGTCGGTCCCACCGCCATTGGAGGAGTCACTTGTGCCTTCCTCTGGTCGTCTTTGGCGCCTCGTGCGTCGGCGCCGACGCCCTCGACCAACAGGCGGCACATGCATAGCCCCACCCGACTCCAACGGGTCGATGTGGGCGGGTGGCTTGGTGCTCGAGGCACGGTCTCGGGCAAGTCATCGTCACCTGCCATCAGTGCCGGTAGCTGCGCTAGAGCTGGTAGGAGGCACCCTCCGCTGCTGCTTGCAACGCACGATCCATCATCCATCCCTGCCCACCGCCCTACGTCCACCGTCGATATCAGGCCGCTGCCGCTTACAGTCCCGCGCCAGGTGCCGAAAACCATAGCACCGAAGATAGCAGCATGGCAGCCTGCAGGTGGCGACATGGTGCGACCGGGACAGGTAGTTGAGGCACTTCCCCTAGAGCACGACGGGTAAGGGACGACGCCCGCCGACATAGTCAGACCCAGCCACGACACCCTGGCGCTGCGGCTGCTAGGCAGGGTGCTGTACCTCCTCAATTGGCAGCACCCGCTGCCACCCCTCAGTGTCTAGGGCTGAGACGTGGCGGCATGGCCCCAACCGCTGGTGCGCTGGCAGTTGTAGGTGAGCTAGGTACGTCTGAGCCGATGCCGGCTGGGCACCTCGATGACCCATTGGATTGCGGGCTTCGTGCCCCGTCCGATGACGGCGCTAGCGACGACGTCATGGGCGGCGTACCCTTGGTGCCCCACCGCTACCGTCTGTTGGGGCTGTAGCTGCAGCGGCAGCGTCGACCGCGCCTGGCGCCTCGACATCCTAGTGATGGCCAGAGCAGTTAGGGTAGCGGTTAATGCCCGGCGAGCGGCCTCGAGGTACGACGAAGGGGTTCATTCGCCGTCTGAGTCATCGGAGAGGCAGATCTCATCCTAGCGTATGGACTTGGATCTACCAGTGCAACAGGGGAAGAACGGAAGCGCATTAGGGGAGAGGGGGAAGGTGGTCGACCGGCACTGGCCACGTCGAGAGTCTGTGTGGTGGCTGCCGGAGCCAGAAAGGCGGCCGGCAGGCTGCGGTGGAGGCGGGGGCAATTGGGAGATGGGGTGTCATGATCTCCAACGCCCGCTGCCGCACAGCACCGCGGAGAAGGAGGGGAGGGGGAGGCGGATGCTGTTCCTGGGGCCGGCGTGCGCGGAGGGCGCCGCAAGTTTGCTGGATTGGGAGTGCGGCTGCGGCGGCGGATTGGGGGTGATGGAGCATCCTGAGGAGCCCATGCTCGCGGGGAGGCTGGATCTGCGAGCGAGGAGGTTGCGGCGAAGGGGAGAGAGGTGGGTGAGGGGGCCGCGCGCAGCCGAGCTGGCAGCAGCCTATGGTGGTGGCACGGGGTGGGGAGCAGCCGCCAGGGGCCCGCCCAGGGTTCGCCCATCCTATCACAACTCACAAGGGTGCGCTAGGGAGAGGGGAGGGGGATCTGGCCGGCGTGGCTGGGGTGCGAGGTCAGTGGCGGCGGATCTAGCCGCCGGCAACGTGGTCACCGTAGGGGCAGCGCGGGGGTGGGCGACAACGGCTCTCGATCTTTTCAATTCCAAAATAAAAAAAATGTGCGTTATATAATTTTGGGAAACAAAAAGGCAACAACCATGGATAGCACGCAAATCTGTCATAATGACTTTCATTGCTCATACCCGTAGAAACCAGACAAATTTGGTTATCTAGATGATTTTAAAGTGAAAGTAATGAAAAAGTCTACTTTTAACAAAAAAATGCACAGCCACTAATCACTTGAACTGGAAACGTATCTCACGTAGGGTTACAGTTTGCCGTCACCATTCATCTGGTTGCGTTGTGGAGGCATGGTGAGGGAGGATCGGAGAAAAACTCGTTAGCTGGGACCTGTGAATGGTCGCCATATGTTCAGTTCAATTCATCTACCAAACAAAGCTGTTGGATCGAGACCTGTCCTTCAAACACACAATAATGCTCATGTGGACTGGGTATAGCAGGCCTCGCCCGTCTCGTAGCGAGGCAATGATGCCGCGGTGGCGAATTGGCGATGGCGTCCAGTTGGTAGCCGGCAGGGCGGCCAGCCCGTTCAGACGAGACGGCCTTTGGAGTCAAGTCGCGAGTACCGACAGGTGGTCTGGCTCTCGCGCCGAACCCAGCCCCTATCACCTCACATGTCCTCTGCCCCAATAATCCCGCGCCGTGTCCACTGTGCAGCACGTGCTGCATTCATCCCTGCAAGACTAGGTTTTATTTCTTCTTCAGATGATTCCAGCAGTGTACCTGTGTATATGTACTAACATTCCATCGTCTCGATGAAATTGAGGTTTGCCTCCAAACAGTTCGGTGGCAGCTGTATCAGAACCAAAATACTATATATTAGCTAGTAAAACCTTAAATTTTGCTGCGCTTTGCTGAGCAATATTTTTTATTTAGGATGAATAATTGACAGTTTCATTCTAGAGCACCCTAACGAGCCTCTTACGGTCTTACCCGACGTGCGTGCGCCGCTATAGTTATATAGGCACACAGTCTTCTTCTCCCTCACCAGCCGCAGCCACAGCCCCGCCCCCGCCTGACCTCACAGTGAAATATGTGCAGAGACAGTATGTTACAACGAATCAGCTGGGAAGTATATGCACAGTGAAATGAGGTAGAGATTCATCTGGAAAAGATGAAGCAGAGGCACTGAAAAAGCAGAGGAAATCCTCGAGCGAGCAGATCATCGACGTGCAGCAAGGCACTTGTTGGGTGGAGTGGAAGCTAGCTGCAGCCGCGCCTGCCTTCTTTCAAAACACACACACACAGGTGCAGCTGTCATTTGTTTTGTTTTGTCTGGGGTCTGATCCAGCCACTTTCATGAAAAATTGTTATACTAATTCTGGACTGGAAAATGGGAGCCACAAAACTACAATTTCCAAAAGTTTTTGCTTGTGTAACTATTTGTATATTTGTCTTGTCTTGGATCTTCCTTTGCCGAACATGGATGAATTGGACTATGGCCTCTGGCCTGTGTTTGCCTATCATGATCGATCATGTATCCATCCGCTTCATCTGCATGTTCTGCTCCATCTACCAACATGGCTGGTGATTAATTCCTCACCAACGAACTGAATGGCAGGTGGAGCATGGCCAATCGGTCGCTTGCTTGATCTCATGCAACATGCACATGCTGCTCACTGAAAGGAATTCACATGGTTTAATGCAGCATTTTCTTTTGTTTTACAACAATGGTAATCACGCCTTTCGCTAGACTATGCTGCAAATATAATATAACGTAGCCTTGGTTATGTTGATTTGTTGCGAGAAGAAAACACCGTTCGTTTACTGAAAAATACTGCTGAAGTAGTTCGAGCGAACAGGGCGCTTAACTCAGATGCTGATGCATATGACTTTGAGGCATTATGAAAATTGCTGGATTTGGGCGATGATTGTTCACACAAGCTGACCATAGGAGATTCAGGCATGGAGGGGATAGGGTGGTGGTGTTCATTTGCTGAATTTTCTTCAACCACGGCCAACACATTTTCATCATAGAAGAGGACATGGTGATGTTGTTCATACGTCTTCTATTGTTAGCAAATAATGCAAACAAAGATCGAATACGAGACGCAGATTTTTACGTGGAAAACCCTTGCGGGAAAAACCACGGGTGCCAACCGGCGATCTTCACTATATGATGAGAGTTTACAAAATGCATGTAATATAATGAGTCATTTGCTCTTCCTGTGTGGCTTAATATAGAACGGACGGGCGACAGTCCAATACCGAAACAAATCCGCTAAACACATAACCCAAACCGCGAGCCCTTGAGCCATCCCCTAAGACTCTCGTTAGAATTCGGATCATATTCCAACATCTATGCCCTCATCATCCAATAAGCATCGTCCTAGGTGGCGAATTGATGACAATCTAATGTCTCACGTAGGAAGCGGTTTTCACATGCATATGTGCCAGGATTGATTTATAGCCCAGCAATGTCTCAAGTTGCATGCAAATCTGTTTCAGCAATGGGTTGTTCAGAAAGACTAGTTCATTATAACATGGAGAAAATAAGTTATATTAATCGGTTCACAAGAACAACACCATGTACTATATACCATAGTTCAATGGACGCAGTGATACTCTTTAGATGTTGTTAAGAACAAGCTGGCATAGTTTATAGCTAATTTGAAATGAGATGCTGGACTCAAATTTCTCATCCCCATATAATATAGTTTCATATGAATCTAATTTTATGTAATGCTCAATTTTAAAAAAAAACAGAGTACTGAAAATTCAATCCTTATGCAAGTGTTCAGAAATGATGAGCACTAATAGCTACATATACAATTCATTTAATTTCAAGATTCAGATGTAGTAAACTAGTAATATCCATTTATCAGTTTGGTGATGAAGTATCACTTATTGAATGTTCTTGATGAATTGAAAATGAAGGTGTATGTAATTCACAAAAAGATATTAAACAAGATAACGAACAAGTTTGATCAGAAAAAAGATTACCAAGTCACCATCTTCTTCAGTTTAGTCGCCTTTCTGCTTTTTTTCTAGCAAGAGCTTGTTTTATACTTCTAGCTGAGCACATCTCTGCTTCACAAAATCTGGATCGATTCAACATAATCTTTTTTCATGGAGTAGGAGTTTTGCTTTAGCGGCCATTGCATTAGCAACCTGAAAGGATTTATAGGGGAAAAGAGAAAGGGATCATTGCTGGTAGATACTACAAAAGAATAACTTATCTGAAGCGTTCATCTAACGTCACCGAAAAGACAAAATTTATGTTTTAAGGAAAAACAGTTCTGCTAAGTCATTGAAGCAGAGAAAAGAGCTTACTCCGCTAATCAGATGGTCATAAAGCTTATGTTTTGATAATGCTACAAATCATAAGGAAGCATTAGGCAACTTCAGATGGTACCCTGTCAATTCTCGAGTCTCGACTACACTACAACTCCGTAGATGGGTAAAGGAACTAGAAATAAATAGATTGGCAAAATAAAAGAACTTGAAATAAGTAGATCAACAAAGGAACTAGAAAAAATTCTTACAAAACTAATGTTGTACCCCCCTTTCATAAGACTAGAAAACATAAACTTTAATGTTGATCTGACAACAATGACCACTAAATGTTTGTCTACATAGAGGATGTATAATATCTTATTTATATTCAAGATATAAGCATGTGGCACCTGACGTCGCGAGAAGCGTACAGTTCAGTCTCCTGGGCTGCAGATTCAGGTTAATGGTGAGAGATCAGGAGCGCTGGGTTTATGTGTGCCTACTTCTGAATTCGGCATATGAGAACTCGAACTGGCAAGTTCCCTTCTAATTTGAATTTTCTTTGTTTCCTCTACTCAATGATACTGGATGTCTTATTATCCACAATTGTGAGCCCTTCCTGTTAAACAAAGGAAGCAACGGATCCTCAATTTACAATACATCTCAGGGTTATGCCACTTATATAGAAATAAAGAAACAAAAATAGATGTACAGAGTTAAGTAAAACACATTACTTCCAAAGCATTTTTTATTCTTCCATACACTAAGCTGGTTGACAGAAGCAGAAAGAGCCTCCGTGGTTTTCAAATGATCAAAGGTCTGACTCGTGATGCCACGTCTCCTGTCTTCAGATACGGGCCTGAAATTACAAGAAAAGAAAGCCTGGAATAATATTAATGAAGAAAGAGACAATGCCAAACACAAAAAGTTCATTTGTGACTGTCAATATCTTCAGATACACTTGCTGCCTCACCTGATATTTTCTGGATGCACCGGTGTTGCTACATGGTTGTTCTTTCCTTCAGCCTAAAACGTAGGGCGCCAAGCCATCCTCGTCAAGAATTCCCTAGGCTTTACTTAACCCAAGCTTGGGCTCATTTATGGTTTTGAATGATGTGTAACCCTTGGGGGAGGGACCGCAGAGCCCTGCAGCCATTGAACCACAGGATTCGGAGAGACGTGAGGAGCCGAAGCGCCTCGTCCTGCTCTTCCGTGAAGTTCTCTGTCCGCCAATCACAATCGAAGTATAACCTCTGGAGGGTAGCAGAGAGGCGGCTGCAGATGGGAGCAACAAGCACTGCAGAGATGCTGTCCACATAAAGGCTCACCAGTTGGAAGGAACCGGCGGGCATTGTTTGGGTCCTTGACACCGCTGCAAGTAGATCTCCTGCTACAGAATAGGGCTCAGCCTCAAACGCTTGAGGTTGATTGTGATGAGAGAAACAAACCCATCCACTATGATATCCTTGCAATTAACTAGTTGTAGACTGGTAAGAGATGTGAGATTCGCGAGCAGAGCCATCGGCAGCGTGCTTTGCTCACCCCCAAGACAGAGTTCCTTGAGGGAAGGGGGGAGAGGGTAGATGATGCTCTGAGTCTGAGCTCCTCCTCCTCCCATGGGCCACCGAGAGAATAGCTTGTTACAATTTATTATGGCCACGGACTCAAGCGACGAGATGCCACAGAATCCAAGTCCTCCCTCTTCCTCCACAGGCAGGATCAGATTCTTACACCCACAGAAGCGGACATTTCTCAGCGAGCTGGAGGGTGGAAACTGCAGTACCACCTCCTCATGATCCTCATCTGATGATGCGCTGACATCCAAACTAGAAAGAGCTGGGAAACATTCGAACAAATTTGACAAGGATTTTCTGGTAAGTGAAAAGTGTTTGAGTTTGAGAGATTGGACTGTGTGGAGCACAACACCATCATCCAGTCCTCTCAAAAAGGTTTCCTCACATCTACTGACCTCTATATGTCTTAGGGAATGTAGCTTTTGAAGATCCATAAATGAGAAGCATGATGCATCCTGAATTGTCAACCTTTCTACATCACCAAGATTGTGGAAAACTAATTCAGAGGACTTCCTAATGTCCAACTTAGTACGATAATAAAACAAGCAGTCTGTATAAATACGGGATACCATCAAAGTGTGAGGCATGGGAGGAAGGCACAACTTCGGGCAGTTACTAATGCTAAATTCACAAAGACTAGGGAACCATATATTGTTAGGCCAACCCGAGGTTAACAGTGTTGTGAGCTTGATCAATGCACCTTATTTTTTCAAGCCCCGAGAATAGATGGCAGTTAGCTCCCCCAACCAACTCCACAAGTTCTGTCATACCGAGAAACTCAACTTCCTTCAAGTTTGTCAAACTTCTACCAAAGGAAAAACATGAAAAACATTTTTTTAGATGGAAGGGAAGGTAGTCGTAGCTAATTTTCAAGGCTGGGATGATATCATTGTCATGATTTTCTTCTAGCCACTCTTTGTTGTCAAGAATTTTCATCCAATGTTCCTGAAAGGGTTTCTTAATCAATAACCGACCAAACTGTTTTGGCTGCAAGTGGGGAGCATTTCAGCTTATCTGTTATTTTCCTTGCAATGCCAATTAACTCTTGATCACCATGCTCATCTTGGATTCTACCGAAGGAACATATTTGGAAGAATTTCCAAAATTCATCAGGATCCAAACCACGCAGGTCAATTGAATTAGATTCTTTTGCCACCATTTCTACAATTTTTGGGAACCGAGTTGTAACAAGAATGACGTTGCCACTAGTCTCGTCCTTTTTGAATGGAGCTAACAGGTTTTCCCACTCATCGCTACTGTTGCATTCCCATATGTCATCCAAGACAAGTAGAAACCTTTTGGATTTCAACCTCTCTGTGATGGATTTCTGAAGCTGGTCTAAGTTGGTAGTAGTTTCATTTGGTATTTTATTTCCACCATTTTCAGTTGCAGATACAGGATCTCTTTGGTGAGCTTAAGCACGTCAAAATTAGTTGATACACATATCCAAATATTAATATCAAGGAAACATTGTTGTTTAATCCTTCTGTCATTGACGAGGTGCTGGGTGAAGGTAGTCTTTCCAATACCCCTGGGCCAACTATAGGAAGAACAGACAAGGTTTAACCACTCTGTCACGCCACCACCGTACATACTCCTTGCTGGTCCGCGCTCAGCATGCATAGAAACTCGACCCACATGCATGGCCGCCTCTATTTTCACACTCGATCGTGCAGCTTGGCACCTTTTCCTGAGAGAAGAAGCTAAGGGAGAAGGCAACGAACAAGCAAAGATGGCGCGTGGATGAGTTGGACAAAGTGGGTTGAGTCGATTGCTTCATTTTGGGCAGATGGGTCGAATACCACCCATTGCTACGGGACTTTCAAATAAAACGTTATTATAGTATGGATGTTATAGGCAAATAAATAGTACTACGTGGACACATTGTAGGTTGACAGGCTGAAAGCAGGGACGAAACTGAAACAAAATTTATGGCGGTACACACAAGCATAGTCTTGTAGTAACATCACCATTTGAGAGCTTATTCACATGGTCAAAATAGGTTACTTAATGCCACACAATTTTTATACCATGGTGCCAGTGCAGCACTTTAGATGAACGAGCGTGGCTTTGCCCCTGACTGAAAGTAGTAATTACATTTAGTAGTAGATGTTTTTTTACCTGATTTAGTGGGAGATGTTATAGCAATTATTTGGAACGATGTGGCGCTTAGTGGAGTATGCCATGTGGCTTGTATGTGGTGGAGATTGAAAGATAGCGAGGTTTGCTTACTAGAATGTAAACTCAATTGAGGTAGTCTCCCAACTAAAGCGTATAGAAATAGATACGACCCAACTTATCCCAGTTCAACACTAGAACCAAACACACGCCACACTAGCAGAGTGTTGGTAGAAAAGAGATAATCTTTTTTAACTTTTGATACTGTTTTATACTAGAATACATAAATAACCCCTCACACAATTACAAGATATACGTCTTTCTACATTCGATGTTGGCCATTTCAAAAATAAAAATTCCCATCATAACGATGTTCACCACTGATACTCATACTTTCTTGCAGTGAACTTAAAAGCATGAACCTTTGACCGCCGACCATAGAAACAAGATAATTTTTTTGGCCATCTATGGTTTATTTTAATGGTGGTTTTTGAGTGGTCTGAAAATAATAAAAATCTAGTTTACTTTTAAATGATATTAATTCGTAAGTCATCAATTTAAATGGGAAAAGTGTCTCACATGGGTTAGAGTTTGGGTTTGTTTGGATGGACTAAACTAAAGTTTAATTCATGTTTTGGATGTCAAATAGAAGGTATAAACATTAACTAATTACGGTATGACAAAAACTAGTACAGGCTAATTGATTTTTTTAAGAAACAAAGTACAGGCTAATTGATGAGTGCAACACATTAAAAAAAGAAAATTTTAATTAGCTCATGTTTAGCCTATTATCAACAACAACGGACTAAACTTTACTCCGTCCTTCGCCGTAACCATTCATCTGCCCGCGGATGCCGAGGTTCGGAGCAGTGGGCCCTGGGATGAAGTCGGCATCAATTCATCTACCATCAAACACAAAAATGCTCATGTGGACTTCTTGTACAGTCCGACAAGCCTCGTCCGTCTTGGCATGCATGCATCCGTCACAGGCTCACAGCAGCTACGACCGGGCCAGGGAGGGGCTCGGGCCACCAGGCACCAGCCATGTGAAGGAGTACGATTCGCGGACTGCACGGCTAGACTTGACTCTCCGCCATTGGCGTCTTCTTCTTGTTCTCTCTCGGCCATTGGATGCCATGCCTAGCCCACACTGAGTCGTTGTAGCCACAAGAGGACGACGACGGATGCAAAACTTGAACCGGATCGTGGCGATGGCACACACTGCTCACTGCTGAATCTGAAGACGAAATGAAAGAGTCTTTGCACGCGGGCGCTGGGGAATTGAGGAGTCTGACTGAATTGGCCCGCAGCGCCAGGCGCCAACACGACGCGCCATTGGTGCAGTGCAGAGGATGTGGTCACCACCGTCGTTCCTCACAGCTACTAGCTAGAGCTAGAACCGGGGCACACACCAGCCATGTGGTGGACTGGAGGAGTAGGACGCCTTTTTGCTCTTTGTCGGCGGGCGCTCGATCGCGACGACTTGAGTCCACGGCGAGGCGAGGGGCGCGCACATCGTCACCACCATTATTGGTGTGCTTGTTCCTCTCGAGCGCTTGCGACTTGAGGGTGCACAAAGGTTATCACGGGCCCATGGATTTATAGCGTTTGGTTCATGCATGATGCATATATATAGGAACGACCACCAATAACAAAAAATTAAATAATAAATGTCCCTAAAAATCTAGCGGATGAGCTCATCCACCTTTTTTTTTTTATCTTAGTCATTAAAGATCATCAGTATGTTATATTAAACTTACTATTAATTATGATGATGATAAGATCAGTTTTTAAGAGTGCCAATATGTTGATAGTGTATGTTTCGTGTACCAAATAGGCGGTAGTAGTGCTAATTATCAAATTTTATTTTTAATTACTAAATATTATGATAAAATTGGTGTTAGTGCATATTTATTAGTGTATAATTACCTTTTATTATTTTTTAAATAAAAATTATATTCTCGTTACATCCACTCAGGAAGCTCATCCCAGATGCTCACATGCTGCTAACAATAGCAACGCTCATCCGGTCATCCTAGTGTTATCCAAGACGCTAAGGGCCTATTTGAGACAGTTTCACCACTAAAAAAAAGTGAATCTGAATCTGGGATTCACCATAGAGCATCTCCATTGGTGAATCTGAGATCCACCAGGGAACCATTTAATGTCATCATTAAGAGTGTTATTAGTTTGACCGTTCAGACGTGTCTACTGTTAAATTCAAGGCAAAATTAACAATATGTTTTCTGTTTCAAGGCAAAAATTACAATATAACCTATAGATTGAACAAAATGATAAGAGTGATAGTTCATATGAACCTACTAGAATCAATATTACATCACTAATAATAGTCTAAAGTACATATTATATCAACAAAATCCAAATGTTTGGTTAGTTCGGTCACCCAAGGTATATAACCGAGCTAACCATAAAAACTTCGGGTAGTATGGACTCGGACCGAACTGGTGACCGAAAACATTGGTCTTTGGTCTTGGTTAGTTCAGTCCAGTCTTTGGTCTTTGGTCAATTATGCCCAGCCCTATTGTACTCGTCGCTGGCGCTCGCGCGGCAGCGTCGCTGACACCTCGCTCATCGCCCCTCAACCTACCATCACCTCTGAGCCGGCTGCCACCGTCGGGTCTCCAAGGCCACCGAGCATGGAGAGCTCTCCTGAAATCCTAAAACCCCAACTTGAGATCAGCACAGATGTTGCATCGTCCACGGCCCCCGCCTACAACCACGCATTGCGCGCGTGCGTTGGCAACGCATGCACAACTACCGGAGACCGGCTCTTTGCCGAGTGCCAGGTGGTTTGCCGAGTGTTGTTTTTCGGGCACTCGGCAAGTTTGCCGAGTGTTTTTTGTTGACACTCGGCAAAGAGCCTCTTTGCCGAGTGTTATTTTGTTGACACTCGGCAAAGAAAATTTCAAAGCATATTTTGAAGCAGTAAATTAATTCAAATGAAAAAGTTTTCAACTACAAAGTTGTATAACTCATAAAGATGTACAATGTTTGGTTTGGTCTTTTCTTCATATGACAAAGTGAAAGTAAATTTGTTCACAAATCTAACATATCTCTCTTGTAGTTTATGAAACTACAAGATAGATATATAAGATTTGTGAACAATGTTAGAACGACCATGTCGGATGAACAGATGATCAAACAACCAAAATAAACTTTGTAGATCTCAAAAAGTTATGAAACTTTGTAATTGACAACTTTTTGATTTGAAATCATCTTGTCATGCAAAACTGCGTTTGAATTTCAAAATTTTAAAATTCAAATTTTGTAAACGACATCGGATGGGAAAACTTCCTAAACTAAAAGTGTAGATCTCGAAAAGTTATAAAACTTTGTAGTTTACAACTTTTTTTATTTGAATTCATTTAGAGCCTCAAACATGCAATTTACACTTGGCAAAAAAACCTTCTTTGCCGAGTGTTTTGTTTTTTTGACACTCGGCAAAGAGCTTCTTTGCTGAGTGTTTTTCTACACTCGGCAAAGAAAATTTCAAAGCACATTTTGAAATAGTAAATTAATTCAAATGAAATAGTTTTCAACTACAAAGTTGTATAACTCATCAAGATGTACAATGTTTGTTTTGGTATTTTCTTTATACGACAAAGTGAAAATAAATTTGTTCATAAATCTAACATATCTCTCTTGTAGTTTATGAAACTACAAGAGAGATATATAAGATTTGCGAACAATGTTAGAACGACCATGTCGGATGAACAGATGACAAAAACAACCAAAATAAACTTTGTAGATCTCGAAAAGTTATGAAACTTTGTAATTGGCAACTTTTTGATTTGAAAACATCTTGTCATGCAAAACTGCATTTGAATTTCAAAATTTTAAAATTCGAACTTTTCAAACGACCTTGGATGAAAAAACAACCAAAATAAACTCTGTAGATCTCGAAAAGTTATGAAACATTATAGTTGACAACTTTTTGATTTAAAAACATCTTGTCATGCAAAACTGCGTTTGAATTTCAAAATTTTAAAATTCAAATTTTGTAAACGACCTCGGATGGAAAAACTTCCTAAACTAAAAGTGTAGATCTCGAAAAGTTATGAAACTTTGTAGTTTACAACTTTTTATTTGAATACGTTTAGGGCCTCAAACATGCAATTTACACTCGGTTTAGTATAATATATTGGGAACTAAAACGGAATGCAGACACAAGTGAGAGGAGGTATGTGCACAGCGGGAGGTCTTGGGTTCGAATCGCGTCGGCCGCGTAGCCATGAAATTCACGCGAAAAATGTCGGAGATGGGTGGGCGCTGGCCGGTGGGGGCCTCCATTGATAAAAAAAATTCCATTTTTTGGGTAAAAATTCTCATTTTTTCGGGTTTTTTTCGGTTTCAACTTTGCCGAGTGTACTCGGCAAGGCTTTGCCGAGTGCCCGACAAAAGACACTCGGCAAAGACGCCTTTGCCAACGGTTTATTTGCCGAGTGTTCTTTACCGAGTGTAGCACTCGACAAAGCCTTTGCCGAGTGCAAATTAGGCTTTGCCGAGTGCCCCTGGCACTCGACAAAGCCACTGATTCCCGTAGTGACATTGAATAGTGATTTTGCATCTACTCCCATTCATCTAACCAAACAGAAATAACTTGTTGTATCTATCAACCAAATGGACAGCATGAATCATCCTATCCCAAATCATATGCCGTCCAACTCTGTCATATTACCAAATATTAACGAATAAACACACTCAACTTGGATGCCACCGCCACTACATGACGGGCGAGGTCTTGTACGGACTGTACTTGGTCTCGATCGAACAGCTTATTTGTTAGATGAAGTGAAGTCGACTTCATCCCCAGGGCCCTAGGTAGCGAGTTGCATGCTCCGATCCTCGGCATCCACGAGCAGATCAATGGTGACGACGGCAACCTCTAACCCATTATAAGGTTGAGCCTAGAGAGTTTGGATACAATACTGTTTCATTTTAAATATAATTTGGTGTGCAGTTTCTTTTGTATATATAATCTGGTGTGTTGTATCACGTTTTAATATAATTTCATTTTCCTTGCAAGGAAAAAAAATCTAAAAGCGATCGAAATGTTGCGTAATGCAGCACGCGCTGGAGATTCTGAATCGGCAGCGCCAACACGACGTGGCATTGGTGCAGACGACACGTACCATGCGTGCCGCGAACCTGATCACGAAACATATATATACTTTATTTAATTTACTGTAATCGTGCCAGCCCACGGGCCAGATCACAGTCCGTGTCGTGTTTGGGCCTGGAAAAAAAATCACGCTTTGGTCCGGTCCATTTCGATGTCCAGGTTGAGCAGCTCCCGTGACAACGTATGTTAATATTGTGAACGGTGAAGCATGCATTGACAAACAGGAACCACCAGTGAATCAAATGCATGTGTACATTTTTACGTAGGCAAGAGCACAAGGCACTCATTATTTCTGTCCAAGACCCACACCTTATCTTGCATTCGCTCGATTAAGGAGTTCTTTCCTCCAATCCCCAGGTTGACTAAGAAGATGGGAGGTGTTTGGTTCGGCCGTTTTCAGCCCGACATCTGTTTACAGCGCCAACGGGTCACGTTGTCTGCTGTTTGGTTGGTCCGGCCTGCAATCCATTGCGGCGGTATCGGATACGGGCCTATGCAATCCCAATACCCCTCCTCTCCTCCCGAACTCGCGATCCTCCGCGACTCCCGTCCTCGTCCGCCACCACGGAGCACCGCCGCCCGTCAGCCCCTGCTTCGAGAAGACCCTCGCCGGTGCTGATCGCCCTTCTCCCCTCTTCATCTCCTTGGATCTGTTGCACATGCCAACCAAACAGATCGATGGCGTGATCTGTTGCTCGACGACAGTTACGTGGGGGAATGATGACCATTTACGTTCCCTCTCCTTTTGTGGAACCAAACAGCACCATGGTGAGATCCAGCTGAACGACCTGAGGTTCTTTTTATTATTATTAGCATGCGTCCCAGAATATCTGAGGAAAGTAGGAATTGTTAGTGTTCTTGACGTGCGTACCTCGTAGCACCATCAAGTGCGCGACGTGGTTGATGGTGTAGGTGAAGCCACCGCTCCGCGCCGCCGAGGACAGGGGCAGGTCGCAGCTGTGGAGGTGGTGGACGCACTTTGGCACCGCCGCAGACGGAGAGGCCCAGGCCCGCGCTCTTCTCCTTGAGGAAGGCGTGCTCGACGCCGTCGCCGCGGTGTGCGTCGATGTCCAGTCCAGGAGCTATGTTTCACGGTCATAGTATGTAGCAAGTGACCTAAACCTGCGGTTATTTTGCTTGGGCGCCTGTTCGTACTTCATAGTGACATGTACATGAACAGGAGCCATGTTTCG